CACGTGGTTGGCCTGATTCTCCCGTCATCGAGTCAATTGCACAAGGCATGATGTGCTTTCTTGATCCGCGCGAGGTGATCAAGTTCTTCCAGTCACACACGTTGAAGTGTTGTAAGAAGGCCAACTGTCGGGGGTCGATGCATCTGCGCTCTTGGGATTTTTCGTGGGCATGTCTCGGATTGCTGTGGATGTGCGACGACTGTGGGGGTAGGACAACCCTATGGTCAACGTCGCGAGTGCGCAATGATATATCAAGTAGCAAGACTGGTCCAAGGTCCCCCCCAATGTTTCGACGACTCATAGGCGCCTTTACTATTGCGGGCTTGGGCTTTGAGGTGATGTGGGAGGTTTGTAGACACCTAGGCCTCGCACGGCCTGGCCATGGAACCTACTTTAGGAAGATGCCGGGGGTGGACGGGTTGTGGGCAGTTATCATCAGACAGGCAGAGCGGTGTATGGCAGGGGTGCGAGAGAGCATAATGCAACGGCCAGAGAGAGGAGAAAGTGTCTGCATAGATGGTAGATGGTCCCATGTGCGCGAAGCCGGGTGGTGCACCGTATCTTTTATGGACGATGCGTCTCGGAAAATCATTTACTATAAAAACACGAGGTTAGGTGTCGATGCGGAGTCCTCGGTTGCCTTGGAACGAGTGGGATTTGATCGGGGTTTGGATGAGCTTGCAGAGCTCGGACATGAGGTTACGAGCATTGTTACTGATGAGAGTAGTACCTACGCTCGAGGAGCCGCAGACCGGGGTATACGACACCAGGTAGATTGGTGGCATAAGATCGGCAACACCAAGAGGCGATTTAGGAGGGATGTTCAGGATGCACAGTGGGCGTGTGACAGCGTGGAATCTGCAAGCGTGTGCGAACAGCTATGGCTTCTAACTGTTCCCAAGCTCTAAGGTTGGCTAAGGGATTACCGTCCGCCTGTGTTAGTGCCGCGTGCCAGCGAAGGCAAAAAGGAGCTAGTGCGTTTAGTGTGTCTTTTGAAGGGCTTTCCCTACAAGGAGATGAAGCAGTCGGATGCTAAATATAAGTACCCTGAACTACGTCAGGTCTTGTGTATCGATGGAAGCGGGCCAAGTGCAACAGTTAGCCAACCACCAGAGAGTGCTCCAGGTCTCACCGGAGCAAGTGGCACTATGGAAGGAGGGTTGGAGGATGGCATGTCTGTTGAGGTTACTGAGGCGGATATCGGCCCACTATGGGGATATGATGTGCACACGGTAAACGGCATTCGGCCGTCGACGGTGCCCTCGGCCATTTTGGTGCAAGCATGGACTGGAGTCGAACTGCCGCAGGTGCCTCAAGTAGGGGATGCGAGTGGGCGGGCTCCTGCAGACACTATGGCGGGCTCGATAGGTGGGTTGCTTTGTGATTCAATCTTGCCTGACTGTCCCCCTTTTTGCACTTTTGCGTTTGTTAAAACAATACACTGACCCTTTTCATTTGTTGAAATTGCAACCTAGGTCCCGACCGACGCACGTCCCACTTAGCTGCAGAGCCATGTCCGCCTAGGTCTGGGGAGCTGCAACCGGCATCCTCCATTGACGAACAGCGTGACGGCGGTGCGGCGGTAGGGGATGCAACGCCCCTGAGTGCTCCCGTACCATCGTGGCGGAGGTGGGGCCCTCGGGGTGCACGCCGGAGAACTGGCAGAGTGAAGGAGGTTGATGTGGCTGACCGTTTGGGCGTCCATATCGCACACGTTATGCTGCGATGTGGTGCACGGAAGAAAGCGAGAAATCCGATGACACCGGAAGAGGTGTCACTTGAGATTTGTATGGCAGGCGATCACTTTGCCGGCATTCATACTGGATGTGCACGGCCCGGGCTGAACCCAAGGTGTGTGACGGAGCATTGGGGTAGTGAGCAGGCGGTTTACCCTCCTGGGTCCGTGGCGCATGCGCGTGTCACTGAATGGCTTTGGGATAATTTTTCACCGTCCAAGGTGGTGACCATAATCGATGGGGCTACAAGTTCGATGAACGAGTCGTTCCACTCAATCATCTTGAAATACGCACCTAAGCGCCTCAGATTTCAGGGGAGTTACCCGGCTAGAATTGCCGGTGCAGTGCTGCACTGGAACAATACATTGGATCGGGTTGTGAAAGCATACGTTACACGTGTACGGCATGAAACAAGGGTGCGTCGTGGCCGGAGTGACAGAGTGCTCGGTCCAATGAATTGGACGTGGGTTGACAACGTCTTGCGCGAGTGGGAGGACGGTCCCCCAGAGTCTGCAGCACCAGACGAGGAAACCGATCATGCTTCCCGACCCGCGACTCGGCGTCGGCTTTGGTCGGAATCCCCGGCTACTGGCTCGACGCCATCAGCATCACCCACTTGAGTAAGTAGGATTCCCCCCCCCCTCCCCTCCCCCCCTATTCCCTCTACCCACTTATTTTATTCCTGGTCAGTTCATCCCCTTATCTGCCATGTTCTTCCCGTATCTCCCATGCTATCCCCTAATCTCCCACGCTCCCCCCTTATCTCCCATGCTCCCCCCTTATCTCCCACGCTCCCCCCTTATCTCCCATGCTCCCCCTTATCTCTCACGCTCCCCCCTTATCTTCCATGTTCCCCACTTATCTTCCTTGCCCCCTCTGCCCCCTCTCCTGTCCTCCCCCCTGTCCCTCATGTATTCCTACTGTATGCACTGGATCCCTGCCCTCCTCCCTGTCCCTCACCTCTCCTCACCGCCCCTCTCATCCACTCTGTCCCCATCCATCCCTTTTCAAACCCCCCCCCCCCCCCTCCCCTCCCCCCCTATTCCCTCTACCCACTTATTCTATTCCTGGTCAGTTCATCCCCTTATCTGCCATGTTCTTCCCGTATCTCCCATGCTCCCCCCTTATCTTCCATGTTCCCCCCTTATCTTCCTTGCTCCCCTCTGCCCCCCTCTCCTGTCCGCCCCCCTGTCCCTCACATATTCCTACTGTATGCTCTGGATCCCTGCCCTCCTCCCTGTCCCTCACCTTTCCTCACCGCCCCTCTCATCCACTCTGTTCGCATCCATCCCTTTTCAACCCCCCCCCCTCCCCCCCAATTCCCTCTACCCACTTAATCTATTCCTGGTCAATTCATCCCCTTATCTGCCATGTTCTTCCCGTATCTCCCATGCTATCCCCTAATCTCCCACGCTCCCCCCTTATCTCCCATGCTCCCCCCTTATCTCCCACGCTCCCCCCTTATCTCCCATGCTCCCCCCTTATCTACCATGTTCCCCCCTTATCTTCGTTGCTCCCCCCTTATCTTCCATACCCCCCCCCCCGTTATCTGGCATCCTCTCCCCATATTTTACATGCTCCCCCCTTACATTGGATGTGATCCCCCAATATCCCTTGTGCTCCCCACATCTCCCCTCTGCCCCCCTCTCCTGTCCTCCCCCCTGTCCCTCACGTATTCCTATGCTCTGGATCCCTGCCCTCCTCCCTGTCCCTCACCTTTCCTCACCGCCCCTCTCATCCACTCTGTCCCCATCCATCCCTTTTCAACCCCCCCCCCCCCCCTCCCCCCACCACCTCTCCAGTCGGCATATCGTTTCGCCACCAGGCCCGGCCGTGGAACCTTTGAAATTTGTGGGAGCGATCGTGACGATCTTGGCGCTAAGTAGGCTACTACTTGAGTCTGACAATCAGCTCTCCCAGTGCTGGGGCTTGTAGCACCACCGGTTTTGGCTACATTCTGGATTCATTTCCTCGTTTCACTGCCGATCCGTATCAGACAATTGAGAAAGGTGGATGTGCTTTAGACTGTAGTGTAGGACAATGGATAAGTTCCATGATTCAGGGACCCCCTGGCTGACCCTACTAGGATCTAGGTGGTGAGACTGAGGATCTATGAGCATACATACAGTCAAAGGTACCATGTAACCACATTAAGAATAGCAATACGCTTTCGAGTAGTTCATTTTCCAAGTCACATAGAAAAGCTCGTCAGCGTCATGCAACAAGACCGTGACCATGAGTTCGGGAAATCTTTGCTGCAAAACATCTCTGGCGTCATCCATGTGAGCGGATGGACCCTCTACAACCCTGCACTATTTTCTCTCTCCTCCCCTGCCATCTTGTCTCTCTCCCTGCCTGCACTATTGTCCCTCTACCTGCACTCATGCCTCTCTGCCTCCCTGCACTCTTGCATCTCTCCCCCCCCTGCCTCCCCGGCGATCTTCCTCCCCCGCTTTCGCGCCCCCTACCCTTCCACCCTCACTACATGCAGCCCCGTCCCCCCCCACACGTGCTCCCGCTGCCCCTTCCCCCAACCCACGTGTTCAAGCTACGGGCACCTACCCACAATCCCTAGCCTACACTTCCTGCCATGCTCTCACGCCTCTCTTTCTACATGCTCCCCCTCCCTCCCTGCTCTCATGCCGCACTCCCTCCCTGCTCTCATGCCTCTCTCCCCCCCACGGCACTCCAGCCGTTCCCCCGCCCCTGCTCCCTATCCTCTCACCCATCCCTGCTCTCCCTCTTCTTCCCGACCCCTTCCCTCCCTCCCCCCCCCCCCACTCCCCTGCTCTCACTCCCCTCTCCCATGTCCTCACTCCTCTCCCCCTCCCTTGCTCTCACTCATCTCCCCCTCCCCTGCTCTCACTCATCTCCCCCTCCCCTGCTCTCACTCCTCTCCCCCTCCCTTGCTCTCACTCATCTCCCCCTCCCTTGCACTCACTCCTCTCCCCCTCCCCTGCTCTCACTCATCTCCCCCTCCCCTGCTCTCACTCATCTCCCCCTCCCCTGCTCTCCCTCATCTCCCCCTCCCTTGCTCTCACTCATCTCCCCCTCCCTTGCACTCACTCCTCTCCCCCTCCCTTGCTCTCACTCATCTCCCCCTCCCCTGCTCTCACTCATCTCCCCCTCCCTTGCTCTCACTCATCTCCCCCTCCCTTGCACTCACTCCTCTCCCCCTCCCTTGCTCTCACTCATCTCCCCCTCCCCTGCTCTCACTCATCTCCCCCTCCCCTGCTCTCCCTCATCTCCCCCTCCCTTGCACTCACTCCTCTCCCCCTCCCTTGCTCTCACTCATCTCCCCCTCCCCTGCTCTCACTCATCTCCCCCTCCCCTGCTCTCACTCATCTCCCCCTCCCCTGCTCTCCCTCATCTCCCCCTCCCTTGCACTCACTCCTCTCCCCCTCCCCTGCTCTCACTCATCTCCCCCTCCCCTGCTCTCACTCACCTCCCCCTCCCCTGCTCTCGCTCATCTCCCCCTCCCTTGCTCTCACTCATCTCCCCCTCCCTTGCACTCACTCCTCTCCCCCTCCCTTGCTCTCACTCATCTCCCCCTCCCCTGCTCTCACTCATCTCCCCCTCCCTTGCTCTCACTCATCTCCCCCTCCCTTGCTCTCACTCCTCTCCCCCTCCCTTGCTCTCACTCATCTCCCCCTCCCCTGCTCTCACTCATCTCCCCCTCCCCTGCTCTCCCTCATCTCCCCCTCCCTTGCACTCACTCCTCTCCCCCTCCCCTGCTCTCACTCATCTCCCCCTCCCTTGCACTCACTCCTCTCCCCCTCCCTTGCTCTCACTCATCTCCCCCTCCCCTGCTCTCACTCATCTCCCCCTCCCCTGCTCTCCCTCATCTCCCCCTCCCCTGCTCTCACTCCTCTCCCCCTCCCCTGCTCTCACTCCTCTCCCCCTCCCTTGCTCTCACTCATCTCCCCCTCCCCTGCTCTCACTCCTCTCCCCCTCCCTTGCTCTCACTCATCTCCCCCTCCCTTGCACTCACTCCTCTCCCCCTCCCCTGCTCTCACTCATCTCCCCCTCCCCTGCTCTCACTCATCTCCCCCTCCCCTGCTCTCCCTCATCTCCCCCTCCCTTGCACTCACTCCTCTCCCCCTCCCCTGCTCTCACTCATCTCCCCCTCCCTTGCACTCACTCATCTCCCCCTCCCCTGCTCTCACTCATCTCCCCCTCCCTTGCTCTCACTCATCTCCCCCAACCCTGCTCTCACTCATCTCCCCCTCCCCTGCTCTCCCTCATCTCCCCCTCCCCTGCTCTCACTCCTCTCCCCCTCCCTTGCTCTCACTCATCTCCCCCTCCCTTGCACTCACTCATCTCCCCCTCCCTTGCTCTCACTCCTCTCCCCCTCCCTTGCTCTCACTCATCTCCCCATCCCCTGCTCTCACTCATCTCCCCCTCCCTTGCTCTCGCTCATCTCCCCCTCCCTTGCTCTCACTCATCTCTCCCTCCCCTGCTCTCACTCATCTCCCCCTCCCTTGCTCTCACTCCGCTCTCCTTCCCTGCCGCCCGAGCCGCAGACCGGTCCGTCTTATGGCGCCTCTCAACTCTCATGTCTCCCCCTCATCTCCGCTGTTCACCTCATTCTTCCCCCCTCTCTCTCCTCCCTCCCTCCTTTCCGCAGTTCACCTCATTCCATCACACCCCCCACCTCTCTCTCCTCTCCCCCTCATTTCCGCAGTTCACGTCATTCCCTCATTTCTCCCTTCTGTTTTGCCTCTTTCCCTCCCTGCTCGATCGCATCTCTCCCTCCTTGCCTGGGTCGCCACTCTCCCTCCCTGCTGTACCGCCTCTCTTCCTCCCTGCTCTCGCCTCTCGTCCTCCTTGCTCTATAGCCTCTCTTCCGCCCTGCTGTATCGCCTATCCTTCCCTGCTCTTGCTCCTCGCTCAATCCCTTCGTGCTGTATTGGCTCTCCCCCTCCCTTCTGTTTCGCCTCTTTCCCTCCCTGCTCTATCGCCTCTCGACCTCCCTGATTCATCGCTTCTCTTCATCTCCGCTCGATCGCCTCTCTCCGTCACCGCTGGATCGCCTCTCTTCCTCCCTGCTCGGGTACTAGCTGTGGGACGCAGCGTGAGACGGCGTGGCCGTGGGGTTGAGAAGAGCTATGCGGGGGCGGCGGCTCGCACGGGCTCGAAGCGGGGGAAAGCGGAAACTGTGTTCCCATTTGCAGCCAACTAGCGCCGACGGCGGGGGGGAGCGGGTAATGGGCGGCTGCAGGCAGCTCGGCGCAGCTAGATGCGGAAGCGGGAATTCACGCGTGGGCGCCAAGCGTGGTACGGTTTTTCTCAAATTTCCTAGACCTAACACCCTAGAATTAGGGTAGCGGGCTGTGGGGAGCGGGGTGCTACACGATGCGTGGCGGTAATGATTACGCTCTTGGCGCGAGCATGGTGAAGTTCGGGACTCTGCTAGCGAGGAGGCCGGGAAATGCTACGCATGTCTCCGTTTTGTAAACAAAATGGTTTCTGGTAGTCCCACATTGCACGTTTCGGTTCTTCCCCTTGGCCCTTTCCTCCCTTGGTTGGACTCTGTGCTGGGGTTGGCGAAACCCGTTTTCCCCCAGCGTCCAATCACAAGCTTCCCTTCCCCATCCTCCCCCCACTTGTTCACTGTTCTAAATTTGTACAGGGTAACCACTCAGACCCCGACAGAAATTGTTAACAAAAATGCTCGCGCCTTGTAACTTGGGACCTGGGCTTTAACAGGAATCAATGGAACAGCACCACCTCATCATCCGCCCCCACCCGCTCCCAGTTCCCTCCGAACGCCCAGTTCTCGTACCCGCCATCCCCGGTATTAGCAACCTCGAACGGGCCCATCTTGTAGTACACCGTAAATTCGGAGTTATCCCAGAAGTGCCACACCTCGACGCCGGCGGAACCCGGGTCGCCTACCACGGTGTGGCTGCTCTGGATCACCATCACGTTGTACCCCGCGTTCATAAAAATCTCCACTATTTTCTGAGTCACCTCGTCGTCCTCTGGACCGTCGATCGTGCCCAGGCTCCCTGCAATGACCTGATCAACGGTTACCCCATCCCAGCTGAAGAGCTTCCGCTCCGCCCTGTGCGGAGATCCCAAGGTGGATTCGGATGTGCTGCCGCTGGTGATGGCGGTTGCTGCGGCGGAGGATGACGTCTGCAGCATGGGTCGCGCTGCGCTGGCGCCGGTGACGGCGAGGAGCGCGAGGAGGGCAAGAGGCAGCAGCTGGCGAGCTGCGAGCAGCCACGATTTAGCGGCCATTGCGAAGCTGGCTTGATTCGATGAAATATAGATTGGCTGAGAAGACTAGTTTTTAGGACGTCTCAAAAAGAGCGGAATATGAAAAGAAGTTCAACAGGCCGTGCGCTAATTGGTGTGTCAGATCTGACAGAATGAGGGAAACGCTGATCGATACTGATCGACGCTGATGAATACTGATTGTATAAGAGAAGATGTTGCTGAGGCTGTGATGACATTGGAGATCTCGGATGTCTAATTTGTAGACTTTCCTACTCGAGCATAAACGGCAAGGCCGTTCAAGAATCGCTGGAGCCGCCATGCTCAACGTTCTGCGCTTCGGACTCAGCCGCGAGCGTCACGCGTGGACTTCCTGCCGTATGCGGAAGGTCCTGACGGGAGAGGTAAGCGAGGTCCGATGACAGTTGGTCTGAGCTGATAGCACACGAGGAGCAGAATGCAGGAGCAGAGTAGGCCGTTCCTGTTTCTGTTCCTGTATCCTCGTGAATCGCTAGCACTAGACCCGATAGAAGAACGAATATGATGGAAGGTTTGGGCGTGGCGTGGGGTGGAAGGGGAAGGGGGCAGCTGCCATTTCGTCCGCTGGCCGTCATTGACCACGGCCAGCCGTCAAGTGAGATGAGAAATACTTTTGCGAAAATATTTTGGGAGTCCGCGAAATCTCTGACAACAAGTGCCGTACGATCAGGCTGAAGTTGGCGAAATTGTCACCGCGTTTTGTGTGCGTGCGATCGTGACATGCAAATCGGTTCGTCTCGTCCTAGAATTTGGGAGAGCGCCTTTCAGCTCCGTCATTCCAAAGGCGACGCTAGTCACGCTGTACTTCAGGGTGTGTCCCGACCCGAGGGTGTGCTCGATTGCGGTTGGGTGCGGTGTGTTCTGGGGTCAGGTGTGTTCTAGGGGCGTGGTGCAGCGGCTCCTTAGGAGAGAAAGTCCGGACGGAAGTCCGGACAGAAATTCGCGAACGTCCGTACTGGCGACGGGACAACATACGCAACAGGAAACTAAAACAGAGTTGTACCTTTGAATTGGCTTGACCACCTTCTGCAATTTTGCAGGTTCGGACGACCTTGGTCAACATCCCACATTTGCGAACTCGGCGAAATCGCCCATTGTCCATTTGTTTCGCCCAACATATATTTGCAACACCACGACCCAGCGCGGTCACCCGGTTCTGGTTTACCCCCCCACGGAATGTTTGCGATTCGCCGATAGATTTCGCCAGCGCTGTAACCACGTCGGTCCGGACGGCTAAGAAAGCGCTGCACCTTACCTAAGGGCCCAGGGCATCCAAAACCTGATGCCAAAATTCGGACGCATCATGAATATTGGCAGTCCGAACCACTCCCGCAAAAGTCCAGGCAGCCACAACCTAACCGAGGTTCCATCATTCAAAATTCCAACACCCTTTCGCGAACCAGCGCGAAAGGGGCAGCATGTTCCATGCCTCGCCGACATTTGCTGTGTGTCGCCACGGCTCGTGACACGCATTCGACGCACGTCCAACTGCATGTACAAAATTTCAAGCAATACATCTTGCACCATTTGCAATTTCCCAACAGTGCGCCCACGCGAGTTCTTGCTGATTCTCATGCTGCTCTACCATGGCTACTCGATGCTCTTCGTTCGCCCGATGTACATGGTACTGGGAGCCATTCTTCCAGAGCTTGCCCGCCGCGCGGACGACGACGCGTACCTACAATTCACACGACATGACCGCGAAAACCAGCGTCAAATATGGGAGGAGCGCCTTCGTTTCCTCCACCCCCCTGCTTTTTACGAAGCCCTGTGCGTCGACAGAGAAGTGTTCAACTATCTCTGCGAAGTTTACAAGCCGCATCTTGGATATGCGAGGAGGGACGTCCCAGTCGAGACACGCATCACCATGTCGCGTGTCCGTCTTGGGCAGGGAGAGACCTACCGACACCTCGGGCTGACCTTCGGAACCTCGCACGCGCACACGAGGCGGGTTGTGCGGCACTTCATCAAATTCGTCCACGACGAGCTGACGCCGATTTGGGTGAAGTGGCCCCACCCAGACGACTTGGAATGAATGGCGCAAGATTTCCGCTGTGAAGGTGGGATACCCGAGGTAGTGCATCACAAAAATGTGGACCTCTCCTATATTGTAGGTATAGTTGTTCGTATAGCAAGGCTACTCCGTAGCAGACGTACCTATGCCATACCTACTGTATACCTACTCCGTATTTCTGATCCTGGAATTTTGGGATGTGGGCGCAATGGACGGCACCTAATCAAGTGGCACGGGTAGGCACAAGTTGGATTTAAAAAATTAGAAAGGTTTTTACTCAATCATATTACAACTAATATGCGATTCTAATAGCGTCATGTGGGACTACTTAGCAGGGCGGCCCGGTAGCGTCAATGACGCCCGGGTGTTCCAAAAGTCAGAGGCGCGGCGCCTTATTGAAGAGGGCGGTATTTGGAACTACTGTCTAGTCAGTGACGCCGCCTATGGATTGTGCGCGTACATATACGTATCCTACAGAGCTCGCCCAAATGGCACGCTTCCCGACGATGAGGGTACCTGGAACAAACAACAGTCGCGGCAACAGATGATAGTCGAACAGGTTAACGGAAAATTGAAAACCAAATGGAGGATACTAGACGAGCGCATGCAATGCCACACCCGCCTGTCGGTGCGGTTGTGGTCTTGTACAACATCGAGCTTCAGTTAGGTTAACGCGCGCAACTGGGGGAGGAGGAAAAACATAGGTGGTGGCTCGAAGGACCAGCGGCGCGTCTGGAGCATACCGGCGCAGAGGTGCCGGCCTTCACTCCGACTCTGAGGAGTAGGGTGACGGCGTACCTCCACGCCTCTTACGTCCTCTTGCACCCCAAAACGAGCCATTTCCCGTGTGAGTTGCTTGATCTCATCCCATTGTGCATCTTGTTTTTTGTCGCAGTGTCCCATGATGTGATCCAACACCTCGAAGAGAGAATCTCGGCCGGTGTATGTCGTGCCTTTACGCGAACCCGCGTTCCTTCCAACCCCCCGCCAACTCCCCTCCCCTCCGTCGGTCGTAGGTCGCGTGCCCCAGGTGAGGCGGCAGGAGCGCAGCGAGACACCAACGGGCGGACTAGCGTCGTCTGAGCGGCGAGATGGGGTGTTGGGCTCCGAAGGGCGACGGGGCGCATCGGAGCGAGGGATGGTATCGGGGGAAAGAGGGCTTGGCGCGGTACGGCTGTTTGAGCGTTGGTGACTCGGGTTCAATTCCCAGTGCTAGTGCTGCAGAGGCGATCGTGTCCTCCGCCTATCCCAGCGAGCGGGGGTGTCGAGAGACCCGCTGGGGTTACCCTTGAGAAGATCCCCGGGGAAGGGCCACAGATGCAGAGCCTGGGGGGCTATGGGCGCACTGATCCGCTATTAACAAGTCCTTTTAACTCAGTGGTTAGTGGCTGAGTTTCTAAGACAGCCTCCCGCCTTCGCCATGGTGCGGTGCCGCGCCGTCCGCAGTGCCAGCGGCTGTAGTGGCGCTTGTCGCGTCAGTTGTGTTTGGGGTCTCAGCGGATGCGCCAACGCTGCTAGGCGCCGAGGAAGCCACAGGGGCGGGGGCCGATCGGGGCGGACCTAGATTGGAGGGGTGGATGTATGGACAGCGGAAACAGTAGGATAGTTGCTTCTACGGGAGGTGGTGGTTCGTTAATTGATGTGGATTTTGTGATAAAATCGTACTTAAGCATTTCTGTGAGTAGTTCGGATAGATATTGTCGAGTTACACTATAGTTAACATCCGTAGAATGACGTCAGCAAATAGCGCTCGTCTGGATGGTTACGTCAGCAAGCCGTTTCAGTCACGCGAACAGTCGCGCTCTTTTCAGTAGCATTCAGAGCGCATAGCGCAAATAGCTCGAACAGGTCCATCAGCGAATAGGTACATTTAGCACATATAAAAGTAGCTGGTACAACTTCAATTGTTAACTTGTTCTTCAGTAACATTCTGGTCAACACTTTACAAGTTCTAAGACTTCCACTGTCTTTCTAGTCTACTATACCAGCAAAGATCCTTGGTTAAGTCTTGAAGTATCGCAAGGCTGCAACACTGACTCTGGTGTTACAACTTGCTAATACTGGCTGTTACTGGAGGTACTTCCAGTATTACTTTCTACTTCAAGTACTTGTGTCTGCAGATTCTATACTTAGTCTCCTGCACCACCTGTGTAATTCTT